ACACTGCCATGTAACATTCTTTTCAATCAACAATTTGAGAATAATCAGCTCACACAACTTCCTCAAATTCTGCCTCCCCTACCTCCAGCACCAGCCCCCTCGGCTCCACCGCTGGACTCGCAGTCTCATTCTGCCCAGCCGCCCGAGCCTCACCCTGGGAAAACCTCCTTGAAAACCCTAGATGAATTAAAAACATTGCCTCTCAGTCTTGCCATCCATCAGGCAACTCAGAGCCAGATCTCCAACCGTCCTTCAATGGATACAATTCTTGCAGCTGCTGCTTTAGAAAATGGCTCTGTAATTTCTGCTTATCCTGTCATTCAGGGAATACTAGCACAGGAAGATGCCGCGGCAGTTCCTGATAGATATGAACTGCTCCCAGATCAAGACGTCCATGAACTGCAACGCAGTATCAAGGACAATGGGACACAGGCTCCCTATACACAGACTCTCCTGGAATCCTTATCTGCCCAGCGGCTGGTCCCTAGTGACTGGAGGGCCCTGATAAGAGGTCTCCTTCCACCAGCAGAAGGACTCATTTGCCTAACCAAGCAAGCAGAAATTAATGCTGTTGTTCCTGTAACTTTGCTATGGGAGAAGCTGCAAGGCAAGGCCTCACGGACGCAGCTCTCACTCAAACAGCAGATGTAGTTATAAAAGCCTGGAAGCAGATACTCCACTCAGCAAGGTCGCATTCCATCCCAGGGAAAAGGGACTCTGGGCCGCCCCCAGGCCCAGAGAAAATAATACGGAATCTGCAGGATTCATTTGATGTCATAGGCTGGGGTACAAAAGAAGCTTTACAAGCATGTTGCATCATATGAGAAAGGAGAGGAGGAAGAAAATCCAAGGGGTGTAGCTGTTACGCTCCAACAGGAGGCTTGCCTTGAAGTGCTACTATTGGTATATGTTCCTAAAGCTAGTCTGGACAGGCTTGCAATGGCAGTTATCCAAATCACCAAAGAACGCGCCCACACCTGACCATCCAGATGGGAGGACGTCCAATCCAGGGTCTAGTGGATACAGGAGCTGATGTCACAGTCATAGCTAAGAAAGACTGGTCCCCACCTGGCCAGTAAGAGAGACAAATGCTGTATATGGGGTGGGAGGAGATGAACCAGCTCATGAAAGTGTTTCCCCCATCACCTTCCAATCTGGAGAAAGCATTGTTACTCTCAAGCCACTTGTAAGGGATGGCAAACATCATGAACACTACATGTTCTATGTTTTTCAATCATGGACACTACATGTTCCATGTTTTTCACAGAACTACAAATCCTACCACACCTTGCATTGCTTGGCAGTTTCCTGAGTAGCTCAGCATGATGGGACTTCATACAAGCCTGCATTCCTTTCTCAAAGCCGCACTACAGCTGATCGCTCAACGATTTTTCATCTACAAGCTGTGGATCGTTTGCCTACAAAGGACACCCCCATTTTTTCATGTGCTATTTTGGCTACTCCATGGCTGCCAAATGCAGTTCTCTACACTCCTGAAAAGAAGGACAGGATTTGTTTGCCAAGGCTCATTCCGGATGTTGCCAATTGTCAGGGACAGATATTTAACTCTATTTTCTTTTTCCACAGGGTGATGCTAATAAGTTGCTACAAACTTCATGCTCTTTTCAGGTTGCCTAATCTCTGAAAGACAAGCATTTGACATGTCTTTCCTCTGTCTCTTATCAGTTAACCACTTGTTTTTCTTCCCAACCTCTCCCCTATGCATGGACGCTTTTCACAGACAGTTCATCTTCTCGAGGTGTCACGTGGCAGGATCTTAAAGGACAATGGGTAGTGAATTTCACAGAGAATCATTTCTCAGTTCAACGCTCAGAATTAGTTGCAGTCATTTTAGCCTTTGAACTTTTTTCTAATGATGAATTTAACCTTGTTGTAGTCACACCATATGTTTATAAGCTTCTTGTGCATTTGCCTTTTTCATATCTGTCTCTTTCCGAGGTGTCACGTGGCAGGATCTTAAAGGACAATGGGTAGTGAATTTCACAGAGAATCATTTCTCAGTTCAACGCTCAGAATTAGTTGCAGTCATTTTAGCCTTTGAACTTTTTTCTAATGATGAATTTAACCTTGTTGTAGACACACCATATGTTTATAAGCTTCTTGTGCATTTGCCTTTTTCATATCTGTCTCCTTCTATTACATTTGACTGTGGGTACATTTTCTGGGTTTATTTGGGCTACTCCTCTTCATGGAGAGACTTCAAGACATGTGATTCAACACTATATTCGAACATTTTTTGTGTTCAATGGGAAATCACACTGAAGCATGGGATTCCTTTTAATTCCACAGGGCAAGCAATTGTGGAAAGAGCACATTTAACCTTTAATTCTCTTTTGCAAAAGCAAACCTCAGGCAGAGGGGCTTCTGTGGCAGATGTTCCTACGGTTGTTGCAAAAGTTCTGTATACCTTAAATTTTCTGCTTTTTCCTCATAACAGGGTTGAAACCCAGTCTGCTGTGTTTATGTATCTGATCGTTCACCTAATATTACTCATACACTCCTAGCCATGGAACAGCTAATTAGTGACCAATATGCTCCTTCATCTTTCTCCTTGTGGGAATCTTTATGGTTATGGCTACCATCCTTTTCCTGTACCTGGTTACGTATCCTTGTTATGTATATCATTATTATAATTGTAATATTCCTTTTGTTGGAGCAATATGAATGTGAAGAAACAGCTTACAAGTAGGACAGACACATACTGTGATGCACCCAAAGGCCCCTATTGGATGTTTGTGACAGACAGGTGCAGAGATGATGCTTCTTGAAGAATCTTCAACCAAAATACCCTCCCCCATTGGCAGGAGTGTTGGATTTCAAAGTAGGACAGGACAGTGGCTGTTCTAATGGGTCCTACAACTGTTTAGTGGAAGGCCCCTTGCACATGGATCTCTTTTTCCCTGTTCCCTTCACCATCTTGTCTACATGCCTCTGCCTACATACAGCTCCACTTCCTCTTTGGAGAGTTGGTAGAGCCTCCTGAACAATGCAGGCTATGACACAGGAAAGCTAGGATTGCACTGGAGAGAACTGCCCAACAAGAGAGCAATATGTTAGGGTCAGTGTGTAATTGGAAGATGGAATTCCTTAAGCCCGGATTCATATAACAGGAGCTTTTCAGCTCTCCTATAGTTTGCTGATTTGCTTTGTTTGTTTTGTGTTTCGTTTTCTGAATGTAGGAGATCAGATTTCTCAGACAGGAAGTTCTGCCAAAACACTAACCTGCTTTCATCCAGAATGATGTGTTGTCTGTCACATGAATTTGGCTTCTTGCATGAGTAGAATGAAATTCTTTCCCTTCAGGGGAAGGTTAGAGGACATGACCAGGCCCTTGTGTGATCACACAACTCAGGAGTTTTGGACTGCAACTCCCAGAAGCCTTCACCACCTGCTGTGCTGACTGGGGTTTCTGGGAGTTGCAGTTCAAAAGCATCTAAGTAACAAAGGTTAAGAACCACTGGGTTAGAGGACATGACCAGAACCTTGTGTGATCACACAGACACAACCAGAGGTGATGGGAAAGACTCTTCACAGTTGAGGCCACTAACCCCTAAAGTTCTGTTTGTCTTGCAGTTGTTAGATTTGCAATGGCCACTCAGATAAAACTACTTCTTACCAAGCTGTACCAGTATTACCATTCTGTTGTTCTCTGGGAAGGCCAGGGAGAGCTCCTCAGAAGCAAAAGCCTTAGCTTGCTTCTGCTTATGACTAGGGTACTAAATAGTTTTGCAAGTATCACCTCCCTGCCTTTGCTTCAAGAGAAGAAAATGCATTTGGACCAGGCGGTCTTCTTCAGTGGCAAGAGTAAGGCTGGAAAGCATTTGTCAGGAATACCTCTCCATTCTGATGTATCACACACCCATAGCTAGGGGTTCATCTGATAAACAAAGATATTATAACAATATACTGCTAAAATTACAAGAACAAAAAAAACCCCACTATGTAAAGCAAAGCCTTTCATATAATGTTAAAGTGAAAACGAAACCAGTATTCCCTTAGTATTTCTTACAACAGATTATCTCTGGTGATTATTCTGCAACTCCCAGAAACCTTGGCCAGAATAGCTAATGGGGAAAGTTTCTGGGATTTGCACTCCAAGCATACCTGAGTTAACCAAGGTTGGGAACCACTGATGTACAGAGCAAGAGCTTCTGTACAGCAAAAAGAAATACCACTCAGCAATTTCAGCGATGAGAATTTTCAGGAGTGCTGGCTATGCTGACGGAGTACAATTTATTTTATTTATTTCTTTATTTCTTTATTTGATTTGTACCCCGCCTATCTTGACTACCAGACCACTCTAGGCGGCTAGATGATGAAACACATAATTTTGTCATCTTCTTTTATGGCGGGAGAAAGGGCTTGTCAGAGCACATCAAGCTCCCACCTCCTTCCTGTTTACTATTGTCTTGGTCATCCTAAAACATGCTTTGTCCACTTTATGTTTGTGCCAGCACACACAGGTATTTCTACAGAATCAGCAGAAGCCAAAAGCCCCCTTCTTCTATCTGCTGTACAAGCGCTCTCCCAGATTGTCTACACAGAATCAGTATTGCCAAGTTCAATGCTGAACAAGAAGAGAAGGGGACGACAGAGGACGAGATGGTTGGACGGTGTCATCGAAGCTACCAACATGAATTTGCACGCCGTACCTTGAGAGGTGGAGGCAGAACGCACCGACAAAGGGGCCTCCTCAGCTACAGCTGTTCCCGCGTCGGTGACAGTTCCCGTTTTTAAGATAAGGGCGACTAGGACTGCTTTTATCAGCATTATAATTGCTACGATAACCGTAAGAGATGGCCTGGAGAGGAGAAGGCGC